CACTGCCACTGCAGGACCAGAGGAGATGCAGAGAAGAACAAGTTGATGGTGTTTATCAATAGCAGCTAATGTGTGGACACCTGTAGCATCCACACATTATTATTYAGGTGTAGTTTCAGGTGCATCTGTGTGTTTTTCTCTGTCTGTCCACGGCACCACCCATGTGTCTGAGCACCGTTCATCCATGCATATATCTGCACAAACATTCACAGGAYGGCTCGGTTCACGCAGGCAGTAAGCTGCTCTCTCCCGGGAGAGGCTCAGCTGCCTCCTGTAGCCTTCAGACATGTTTTAATGGTGAGCCTGAACTTTTAGCTCCTCTGCTCCTCTTGAGATGCGCGCACGTTCACAAACACCGAGTTGCATACATATCAGGGGTGGTGACCTAACCAGTACCCTCTGCCTCTTCTTTTTTTTTCCTCCGTCAGATTTCCTTTCTCGTGTTTTTTTATTCCAAAAACTTGTTTCTGTCGGATCACGTTTTTCTCCGCAGACAAGCACCTGTTACATATCTTTCCTATAGCATCCCGTTTTTTTGTTGTGCTTCTTTGTCCCTTATCATTCTGCTTGCCTGTTTGTCTCTTTCTCATCTTCTTCATCACATTCAATCCCCCTTTTCCTTTACCTAGTCATTTTCACATTTCCTCTTTCTGTGTATTTTGTCATCCTGCCTGTATGGGGAGCATCTTTGTGAAAACGTGAGAGACATTATATGTCTTCGTGAAAAATAGGGAGGAAAMAGTAAAACTGCGATAAGCACAGATGGAAGGACACCTGCTTTTGTAATGATGTTTTGCCCACTCCGTCTCTTTTATGGCCTCAAGCAATGGCTCAAGCACACGCACACATGCACATGTAGTCACCTCAGAGGGTGGGGGGAAAAATGGGCAAAACATGAAGGGACATCTTCCTCCTCCCACGGYGCGATAGAGGCAGAGTGACGGATGGGATGGGGCGGAATGGGAGTGAGATAAAAGAACAATGCAAAGCCATGGAGGCAGGTCRTAGCTACAGAGAAGAGTGAGATATGGAGAGTGACAAAGGGTGGGCAGACAGAGTGGGGTTCACACGTTCAGAGACCAAAACYAGCTGTAATAAATCCTGCAGACAGGCCTTTCTGTGTTCAGTTATGTGTTGGTGGTGAGCGGTGTCCTGTGAGGCTCAGAGAGCACATCTGTGCAGAGACAGAGTTATGGAGCTATAAGTACAATTACAGTCCACCTCGTGGGCTGAGGCTGGACCTGAACCTGGGCCGTGTTACTCAGTCTCTATATTTCATCACTAGTCAGTTGCTCAACCAAAAGCATGGCCAATAAAGCTCGATTCTGATTGTTTGGATGACTCTCAGCTACTGCCACACCAAATCTTAGCTTAAAATCTGTAAAACTGGCTGAGTTMCAGACAMGTTTCGTCTTTGCTAATGTTGATTAGCAGTGGCGACAGTTTTGAATTAGGGTAAACATTAACCGTTAGTAGATGTACAGTCAACGGGTAATTTTATGAGGGTTCAATTAAAATCTTTCCAGTGGTTCACGAGATATTTTACTAACATGACACACAAAGGAATAAACTTTCACCTCCAGTGAAGAGAAATCAAATCTAGGTGAAGCAAAAGGTTATTTGTAAAAAATAAATAACTACGTTTTTTGAGTCGACCATTTCGTACTTAGGAGTGTTAGTTCAAATTTTTACTAATGCGCAAAGTGGGCATTTCTCTCGTTTTTTTTTTTGTTTTGTTTTGTTTTGTTTTTTTGTTTTGTTTTTGTTTTTGTTTTTTTGGAAAATGCTGAGGTTTCTATGGAAAGCTTATTGGAATTATGCAGATTTAATGTATTAGCTCTAAAGTGATTCATGTTAAACTTTCTTTGAGGATCACAGATGAGTTTTCATAAATATCTAAGCTATAAATCTGCTTCTTGAGTCTGTTAAATTTTTTAAATTTCAATGGCATTTTCATAGGAAACTCAGYGTTTTACCAGCTGACCTGTGACCCGAAAGAGTATTGGCTCCACCAGTATGTGTAACTGTGAAATGGTCTATTGCTGCTTTGCTAGCTGACATCTTTAACCGACAAAGATGGGGTGTGGTTTACGTCAAGAACATTAAAAACGATGCAGTAATGCCAGAGAAAAAAACACATCCAGCTTAAGCAATAAACTCACATAAGAGCGTATTAATTCTATAATACACTGATATAAATGTGTCTTTAAAAATACCATGCAATATTTAATCAGTTCTATATATTAAAACACCGTGAGCCAATAATGAAAAATTGTTGACAAGTAATATTTTGATGATTTGAGATTGTATGGATYGCTGAGTGATGCTAATTATGTAAATAGATGACTTTTTCCCCCACTTGTTCATACTTGGCATGGTCAAATGTCTACTTAAATATTACAGCTCAGACTTGAGAGCCTAATTAATTACAGACAGGATGCTWCAGTATTGCTTAAAGGTCTTATTTTAAAACCATCAAACCAACATTAGGCTCAATCAGCCCGAATGGCTGAAGGCTGTTGCACATTTTTAGTATGTGACGGTTTTTAGATTTTGTATCAGCGAGTAAATAARGTCTGCAAAACATGATAGCTTTAATCTATAGAAAAAACAAGACACAAAGAAGTGAATTTTTAATGCTTTAGATATCAGAGAAAACACAGTAAAGCTCATTATCAGGGGTTAGAGTGAGGTTTCCGGTCTTATGAATGTTAATGAATGAACACTAAAATCAAAACAAATATAAAAAACACACATTCACAGTGGGAGCAGATGAACAAGGACACCGACACCCTGAAAACTCAAACACAGACAAACACACACCCCCTCCTCCCTGCTTCTCTTGTGATCAGATTCACTATAGCATTGCCTACAGGTGTCATTAACATTTAAACATGTAAAATTATGCAAACAACCCCACCACGCCGCGACGGCAAAACCAGCTCTGCTCATTTAACACAGTCCTCCGGCCGCTCAGACGAATACAGCTTCTCCCATCCATCAGTGTTCCGCAAAAGCAAACATCTTGTCAACATCAAGCTCTTTCACATTTACATTAGTGTTCGCACACACATCAGGGGGGATGAGATGGACCAAAAACTGCAAAACTAATGCGGCTAAGGAAAAACCAATTTGAGTGAAAACACACACACACACACACACACACACACACACACACAGACTCCAACGTCTCACACATGAAAGATGGCATCAAGGAACATTTTCTGCTCCCATCATCTTTTCTGACCGCTTGAATAAACTGTCTAACCTGGTGCCCGGCAATCTGCTCTTATTTCATTTCAACCCAATCAATTTTTGCTTGGATGAACTGACCAAAAAGTGTGTGTCTACATCTGTGTGTTTATGTGTGTGTGTGTGTGTGTGTCCATCAGGACCAGTGGAGGTCTATGTGCAGGGCCCCAGAATATGAGGTAATCAATCACATCATACAGCTTTAGATTAGAGCCACATCGATCTGATCTGAGCTCTGACAAACAGCCTGACCCAGAATGCATCCACCTGGACAGGGCACTGTACATACACCTGCACACACACACTCTCTCTCTCACACACACACACACATCATTTCTTTGGCTGCGTTTCCAGCTGTCCCTCCCAGCAGCTATACCACATGCACACATACCAGGAATATTTACAGAAAACCGGCGGCTCACACAGTGCGGACCCTGTGCAGCAGACATCCATGGTGGGATGATTTTCCCTGTGGGTGGCTGTTCATTTGTATGCCCCTTTTCACTGTCCATCACCTCCCCTGGGCCCCCCGGGACCAGAAAAGTAAACACTCTCTGTCGCAGCTTGATGTTGGCATCATAATTTTCTACTGACTTAGGAATGTCAAACATTTTTCTACCTGTGCGAGTGTGTGAGCGTTTCGTTTATTGATGCTGTGGATCGTCCCAGTCAGTGGTTGTGTGATGAAGGTCCTTGCCTGAGGGGAAAGAAACCAAGTGGGAACGACTCTGTGATGTGCACCGTTTGCAGAATCATTAGGTCTGAGCTCATGCTTTTATGTGTGTGTGTGTGTGTGTGTGTGTGTTTAACAAGAAATCATTAGTACTAGATATGCAGTGCGTGTGTCAAAGTGTTACCCAGGTATTGTTTGAAGTTTTTCTGGCTGCCTATCTTGTCGTGCAGACTTTGGAAAATCAAAGTACGGAACATCTAAAGTGCGTGTGTGTGTGTGTGTGTGAGCGCGCGCGCGTGCGTAGTGACTTCTCCAACAAACCACTGCAGAGCAAAGACAGAAATAAACACTAAACACCGTCGAACAGCTACAACTTTACTAGAATTTGTGTTTTATTTGGAGAAGCATTCGGTGTGATTTAGGAAAATTTTTTTTTTTTTTTAATTTTGTTTTTTTAAAGCCAGTTTCAGAACGTTAGCAGATCTGAAGGGTATAGATCAGATGAATAATAAATATCTTACCTGTTGGAGATTGATGTGGACAGCTGCCAATAAAAACAGTTTCAAAAGTTTCTTAGTTGTGCATGGGAATGGTGTTTTCTACAGCTTTTATATTGCCATTTATTTTGCATCACAGGTATTCACACGAAACGGCTATTTACAGAAGCAGATGTTAACAGCAGCAGCTAGCTGTAGCACTTCTGATCCAGCCAGTGGTTTTCCAAGCAGGATTATCGTAAAGTTTATGCTTCAATAATTGTTGAGTGAAATTTTTTTATTTTACATTATTATGTTATATATTATTCTTCCACAGAATATAGTCTTTCATTTATTTGTTTTAATCTAAAGTTAACTTTAAATCTTGGTTTTGTAAAAATAATAAAACAAGATATGCAATAGAGAGGTATCAAACATCCATTCTCAGCAAGATAATAGAATCAATCTCCTGCAGAAACAGATTAATAGGAGAAACTCATATTTCACTAACATTTTTACCAAAGCCATAACCAATTTATTTCCGCATAAAAGAACAAAACTGCATCATGTTTTTATTTTATTTTTTTATGTTTCTACAGGGCCTGGAGGAAAACGTTCTCAGCTGTCTCCTGTTGAGCAGCAGCTGAGCAGCAAGACTGACAGAAACACACAAGTGACCAATGAAGAAGTTCTGCAGGAGGGAGGACTGACCAATGAGAGAGCCCGTCTGATTGTAGGTGATTTACGTTCCTGACATTTTTAACCAAATTACCCAGCATCCTTTGCGCCATGATTACTGTGATGCACAGTCCCTGCTTGTGTGCAAAGAGTGTGTGAGTGTGATGTTTTACTGCAGATTCACTAAACAGATCTGAAAATTGAAATGTAACAAACAGGAGAAGACTGTTTTTTGGATTTTTTATTTTTGTTTTGTTTTTGGATCAGGTTGTTGGATCTCTAGTGTCTCTGGCAGTTTTCACAGTCCCACTGTTCCTTATGTCCTGCAGGCGAGTCTYGGACAGCTTGTTCTGGGTTTTATGCACTAATCTCATTGATCGAGGGCTTAGATTGCTGTCAGGACATCAGGAAGATTTCATGAGAATATAACAAGCTTGTGTTTGCATTTCTTACCAATGCGAAACAGCAGTTTGAACTATAATATATATTGATCTATGTACGCTATGGTAGAAAAATACAATAAAACTACGCTGACATACATTTGATTATCTGACTTCCTAACGACTGAACCAGTGGTTTAAAGATTTTAAATTGAGCTGGGTTAAGTCCTGCTCAGTGGCCAGAAAAGGTCAATTTTACTTGCTTTTCAAGGAAAAAATACAATTTGAAACAATAAAAGAGGTGCAAGATGTGTTGGCTTTTTCTAAAATTCCTTTCTGTAGAGATGAATAAAGTTTCTCTTACATGATTCATCAGCTCATTTCTRCTGCTGCTCTCTCAACCCTTGAAGACAAATAGTGGAAGACTSTTTCATTTCACGCTTGTGGTAATTAACGATATTAAGCCAGACGCTAAGACATAACCAAACACTCACATGCAAACACACATCAACAACACAAACACACAAACACACTACTCTTGCTTTTCAGGCTCTTGTAATAGAATCATTGGTTGAACATCAGTCAGTACAGGTGTAAATGTGTACAAAGACACACTCATAAAGTCATGCTGGACATGACTGTGTATCACTCTGTGTGTGTGGGTGTGTGGGCACGTTTTTGCTACATCGTGGGAACCATTTTCCAGAAAAAGGCAGCCTCGTGGGGACCGAATGTGCACGGTGGGGACCAAAGCCAGGTCCCTATGAGTACGGATGCTAATTTCGGGTGGAGGTTCCATTTAGGACCAAGTTGTGAATTGAGTTTAGGTTAGTTTTAGGGTCAGGTAGGTACCTGTGTAGTTAGTTTTAGGGTAAATGATCAGGGTTAGGATATAAATTTACCAGAAAATTAATAGAACTCAATCTACTGTTCCCACAGGGATGTAAAAACTAACCTGTGTGTGTATGTGTGTGTGTGTGTGATGGAGAAGATCATCTCAGGGCTGCTGTTATTTAGCAGCGCTCTCTATCACCATGGCATGTTATTATCTGGCTAGAGGCTATGTTACATCAGTCATACTTACACACACACACACAAACACACACACGTCCAAACATGTAAACAACATAGAGAAATCTGTTGGTTTTCCTGTTTTCCATTCTTCATCATTTCCAAGCAGCTTCTTCCTGGGGCTGACAGATGAACCACAGGAATATTACAGATCCTTGAATAGCTGCTTGAGGCTGAAATAAACTCTTTATAATGAAATGCTCAGAGTTACAACCTCAAAACAACTGCTTTGTTGCAACATGTTTAATGTCACCGTTTTAAGAAGAATCTCAAGAACACGGACAACCATGAAAAAATTTGAATATGTAACAAAAAACTTTATTTATAATAAAAACAAAACACTGTTGTGGAAGCAGATTTACAGAAATCTGAGATATAATCACAAGGAACACGAGGAAAACTGGAAGGAAAGTGGACATGTGGCATGAAGGCCAGTAATGCACTGCTGATGTGGCGATGGAAAGAGGTTGAAGATAAAGGACAGGGATGATGAGGAAACTGGAGACACCTGAGCTGAACGGAATTCAAAAACAGGTGAGAGTGGGCGTGAACTTCTTTCCCACATGAAAATGATATAATCTCTGTTACCATTAGAGCAAAGCTGCATAAAAAGTAAACCTGATGTTTTGAATTTTATTTATTTTATTACGAGCTGTTTAGCTCTGTTCCTCAGGCATRGTGTGATGATGTTGCAATTACTCAGCGATGACTAACTCACTATTCTTTCGTTATTTTATTCCCACTCTTTTAGGCTGATGTAATGTTTTCATTATATTTTGCACATTGGTGGTGTTCATTCCTGTGGTGACAGCAGTGTGTATCTGAGGTGCACATAAATATTCTGCATAAATATTCTGCAAAAATCGTAAAAAAACTGTAAAAGTACATTTGAAGCTTTGTATCTATCCAAACTGCAAAATGTTTATAGAGCTACAAGTTCAGAGAGAACCAGCGATAACAGAGGCTGTCTTTCTTGTGTCTTTGTATACGTCTGTCTTGGAGCAGGTTATGCTCCCCACCGCTACTCATATTATCCTTCGGCCCCTCTTTTACAAGCCACTTGTACCCGCACCTGAGAGCGGATTATTGTTCAGGAGACTGGCAGCAGAACAAGCAGAGAAAGTGGATCTCTTCTTCTCTCGTCTAATCTAATCAAATTTGATGTTTCCAAACACACAGCAGCCGGGTAAAGGCACGGCGAAGATAACCCAGGAACAAAGCCTGCGCTTGTTGCAGGAAACTTACCTAAGCTTCTCCAATTCCTGCCTCAATTTAGCCTTCTCTCCCTTTAGAGCTTAGGGCTGGAAAACAGCACGAAAACAATTTAGCTGGCTGACGTTGCATGTGTGTGTGTGTGTGTGCTCGCATGTGTGTGCAACCTTTAGAACTGTCCTTCTGTGGAGGCAACGTTCTCTAGCGATGAGCGTGTGTCCTCCAGGATTTCATGTTTACGAAGAGAGATGTTAAAACCTGCAGACAGCATCGTGTACTTTCATACTTTTCCAATAAGCTTCATTTAATACATCCTGGAGGYCAATAAGTGATGGGATGGCAGATGTTTGACTACTTTTAAGCTCTTGTACATTATTCAAACATAATAAGCACTTTTTATGTGAGTGTAATAAAAGTGGAAGGGCCGAATGCTTTGATATACTGAGTGTACACGAAACGTGGAGATCACTGCAGTTATTGCTGTAGAGATCCTTTCATCACTTTGACCCGACCCGCTCTCACTTTCATCTCACACTAATGAGCACATCATTAATTTCTTATCAAAGGAGCCTGATTCACTGCAAGATCACTGACAGTATTCAACCATTTATGCCTAGAAAAAGTGAAGGGGGCTGTCACATTTTCAAACAATGCACCTGAAGGGCAGCGAGCGCTTTTATAAACAAAGCTACAAGGACACATTTCAATCAGTCTATACAGCTGAAAATGAAGGGATGGGATAAGGACGAACAGAGGATTGTATAGAGGTAATGTTGTGGTTTAGCTCAAATAAAAAGAAACGTTAGAGAATAAAAATGCAGGCGAAAACGACAAAACAAACTCAAGGAGACACTGAGGCATGGCATGGTAATAAGAGCTGGATGAGAAGTGAAAATCTGAGAGATTTTGTGGACAGATGCTGATAAGAGGAGGAAAATGATAACAGGGAACAGGTGTGAGCAAACGGAGTGAAGGCTGACAGTGAAAAAGTACTGAGAAAGGCTGGAAACACAAGTAAAAATATAAAAATTCAACATTATAAGAAATAAAAATAAGTGGTTTATCTGTCATTGCAGTTAAAGCATAAAAAAGTTGCAAACCATGTGGAAATATGACACTATGTCTGTGTTTGAGTGTGCGTGGGAGGGGGAGATCTGGTTGTTACACCTCGTTCCAGATAACTCCACGCACAGGCCAGRCCACACACTCCCTTAACGCTACAAGCTAAGATCAACTAAAACCATTTTAGATGCTCTGGTCTGTTTTTGTCAAAGGCTGCTGTCAGAAAAAAAAAATACTCTTGACTTGTTAACTCTGCAGCTGCTGAGAGCTCCAGTCAAACTTCAATGAATACACTAAAAAAATAGAATAGTGTCTGAATTTTCTGTGAAATAATCTTCCAGTGCAGTTTGACAGTTGACTTCTTGAAACAAGGAAACGTTTCCAGGCAAATAAGATTAGTAATCAAACACAAATGCTCTTCYTTAGTATTTGTCTCAAACTAGTTCAAAAATACTTTTTGGCTGGATATAAGTGTGAGACTTGGTTAGATGGACAATTTTTGCAGTGTTGTGTAGCCATGAGAATCTGAGTTATGGAGCGTGATGTGATGATTTGATTTAGTTTCAAAGAGACATGGTTCTTGGTTAGCCACTCCAAAGTGTTATCATGTGATCCAGTTTATTTTCAGTGATATTAAAGAAAATAAGTACAGATGAGGTGAAAAGGAAATCATACAAATCTGGAAACACATAGAGCAAAGAATATTTTACTGACAAGTTAAAACAAAAAGGAATCAATGTGACTAATTTAAAYTCTACCCAAAATGAATCTAAAGATTTTGCAGGATTTTAGTTTTTAAAAACTTAATATGAAATAGCATATCACAGGTGTGGTTTTTAAGATGTAACAGTAAAATTAAGAGCTTTGTTTTTTGACTCAAGTCTTTTTTCATCACAACAGACCAAAGCAGCACCATGTCCACCCATCTCTCACTCCATCACCACGATGATCACTTGTGAACAAATCTTYTATGTTTGAACTCCTTCACCTGAGGCAGGCAGGGAAAAGCTTTTCACAGTTAAAAAAATGTCTGCTAGTTTTAAAAAGTACACAAAAAGCAATAGCAATTGTGGAGATTATGACAACAATTCAGACGTGTGTGTGTGTGTGTGTGTGTGTGTGTGTGTGTGTGTGTGTGTGTGTGTGTGTGT